CATCCTTGACTGCTTTCCCAGGCCAGAGGCAGAAGGCTGGATGGGAAGTGGGGCCACTGGTGTCACAGTGCCCTTATGGATTCCCATCATGTGCAAGCCAAGGACGTTAGTTGTTAGGCATGAGACCTGCGGGGAGGCCACTGGGGGCATTCCTTTCTCTGAGTGGAACACGGGCCATGGGTCAGGACTCAAGAAAGCAAAGGAGTGCAAGACACAGATGGAAAATGAGGACACTGGGATATGCTGGTGCATTGTCTAGATGCCTCTCTCTCTCTCTCTCTCATTCACCATAGTTCTCTAACCACTCTCAGCAGGACAAGCATAACATGACAACATGTGAATGCAAAATTGCCTCAGGCAAAGCTTCACTGTCGGGCTCCCTGCTTGTTGCTTGGCAGAGGACAAGGTCTCTGGATGTGGCGACAGCTTAGAGCAGAGCATGACTAGCAGGCTTGCTGAGTACACATGCCCTGAAGGAGGGCACAGCAGGATGAGCCATTTCCACATGAGGAGAGCTCTGTTTCACTTGCCAAATTGTTCAATATCTGGTTGCCAGAACTTCCTTGAACATTTATTAAAAATCCAGGGGATCCGGACTGTGTTTAAATGAATATAAGTCTGCAGACTTCATTTTTGGGCTTAAATGACAACTAGTTTATATACTTGAACACAGAATTGACTCTAAAAAGATTATACAAATCCTAGTAACCTCCACTAATGTTCAGTGTTCTTTTATCCATGAAATTTTAATTTTTGGTTAAATGTCCAATTGTTTTATACTTTTGCATTCCCTATTCCACAAACATTTTAAGAAAAGATTTATTTGTTTGAAACTCTGGTGAAGAGAGTGAACAAGAGAGAGAGAAACTATCTTCTATTTGCTGGCTCACTCCCCAATGACCACAATGGCCAGGGCTTCTCCAGGCTGAAGCAGGCTCCCAGAGCTCCATCTTGATCTCCCATTGAGTGGCAGGGACTTCAGTACTTGGGCCATCCTTTGTGCATTCCTGGGTAGTAGGTCAGAAACTAAATAGCCAGGACTTGAACTGGTGCCGCAAAGCTGGTTCTTGTATGTTGCTTTTCTAAACCATTTTAATCTATTTGAAAGGCAGAGAGATGGAGAGAGTGAGAGAATTGAATTAGAGGGTTCACTCTCAAAAGCCTGTGAGAGTCAGAGTTGGACCAAGTTAAAGCCAGGAATCTGAACTGTTTCTGGGTCTGCCTCTTAGGTAGCTGGGATCCAAGTACTTGGATCGTTACTGCTGCCTTCCAGGGAATGTATTAGCAGGAAGCAGAATTAGAAGCAGAGCTGGGACTCAAATCCAGGCATGTTGGTGTGGGATGTGGGCACCTCAGGCAATTCAGCTGCTATGCCAAAGGCCTGTCCATGTTGCTTTTCTGATGATTTATGCTTTAGTAATCTAATGCCATTCTTTGAAACAAAAAAATGCATAGGATGAATTAGATAGCAATCTTGTATATAGCATACATAAATTATTTTACAATAAAATAAAGATTGTATGAAAAAAGGGATAAAGTGAGTAATTTAGGGAATGATAACAGAGGAAATCAGTTCCCTACTGGATTTATTAAATGGTAGTCAGTGATTTGACTCTTAGGTGCTTTTCTCTTTTCTCTCTTGCTCTCTCTCTCTCTCTCTCTCTCTGTCTCTCTCTAAGGATTTATTCACCTCTTTGAAAGTCAGAATTACAGAGTGAGAGGGAGGTGAAGAGATAGGGAGCTCTCATACACCATTCTGTCTTCATATGACCTCAGTGTCTGGGGCTGGACATGCCCAAGCCAGTAGCCAGGAGCTTCCTCTGGGTCTTCAATGTGGGTGACAAGGGTTCAAACACTTGGATTACCATTTGCTGCCTTTCCTAGGCTCTTAGCAAGGAACTGGTCCAGAAGAGAAGTAGCTTGAATACACTTACTGGCACCCAAATGGCATACCATTGCCACAGACAGTGGGTTTACCTGCTATATTATAGCACTGGCCCCTAGGTGCTTTGATTTGGAATATCTAGGAACTTGACATTCTGCTTGGTCCCAGGGACCATTCTTTGTTGTTGTCGGCAGAACAAAACCTTACATCAAGCAGTAGGAATTCTGGTCTCTCTTTCAATTTTTCCTTTTGTGATCACAATGCAGAGGGAACATTGTACACATTTTGCTGAAATTCCACATTGTCCCTAATGCCTGAGCCCTTGTCTTGCCCAGAACTGGGACCCTGGATTTTTCCAGTTTCTTGTTGAGGATCTAGAATCCTACCCCAGAATAGCCCAATGGGTCCTACTCTGTGCCACCAGCCTGTTCATTCTCGTGGTCTCTGTGACTGGGCTCTACTGGAATAGCCAGGTACTCCGTGATGGAGCACTGGACACTGATACACATGCTGGCAGATAGATGATCTACACCTGGCTCATTATCTAAAAGGGTATTTCTTGTAAGCCAGACATTTCTTTCTACCTCATTTTGTTCCATGTCTGTACAGAATGTAGAGCTGCTGGTGTTTCTCCTTTTCTTTTCTAGAGATATCTTGAAATCACAAAAGAGTTTCATCTCAAATACTGAACATCAAAACTTCATGGAAAAATAGAATTTAAAAATAAGGTCTTCTTGGTGCAAAAAATTTTGAAGTCCATGCATATGAACTGTCTCAAGTTTATGAAGAATTTGCAGTATAAGAACTGTGCATAAATTTCAAAGTTTTTTTTTCATACAAAAATAAACTTTTGACTTCATTTTCCTGAACTTTCTGAAGTACCCTCATACACTGTAGGGGCAAATGTAAATGTGTGTTTTGCAGTCTTGTGTTTGATTTTTAGTAGTAACTTGTAAGAGCATGCATGTCAGATGCACGTCATAAGGGGGTCCAGCGTCAGCATCTGGGAAGAAGATGTAGACGCACTGTTAGCGAATCTGACAGATCCCATTAGGAATGGGATCTATATTTGTACATCTTTAATTTCAGCCTGCTATGTTATTATGTTCACATATTTTCCTCATAGTATCTTCTCTGATTAGAATATATTAATCTGTTACACATTAATAGGTATATAATAAATAGATTACAACTAGAAATGATGTATTGCTGGCTTCAGAAAATCGAGTTTATAATAAAATTTACTTCATTTTCACTATGTTTTTTTGGGGGGGGATAATATGGTTTCTCTGACTTCTTCCTATCCTATTTCACATTTAAAAATTTAAGGTATCACTTCTATAAAAGTTGTTATAACTCATAATAGAAAGATTAATTGCTTTAATATTGAATATCAGAATTCAGACAAAATGATTTTAGTTGTTTTAGTGATTGAACATCTTTTAACTGGATTTGCCCCTACTCTCTGGAGAGAACCATTCTTGTTAAATTACAAATACACGCTTTCATTAAATTTAAAAGAGTACCAGTTGAGAGAAATAGCCAGATGACAGAAGAATCATGTGTAAGTTGGAGTATGTTTGAAATGTGTGATCTGTGCTGAAGCCCCAGATTCGTTTTACTGTGTGTCTTTTAACAAGCAATGTGGCAGATGGCTTCAGATAGCCTTGGCCCCCTGGTCCTGGTGGCGGGCTTCAGAGGTCTGGCGGTTGCTCTGGATGATTGACGTGTCAACCTGTCCACCAGTTGTTTGTGCTTTGTTCCCAGAGTTGATGGGAAAAGGCCATGGCTGTGAGAACACTCCTCCTGTTCTTAAGAGGGAAGCTTTTGGTTTGGAATCTTTGGTTTTAAAAAACATACGTTGAAGAGACAGGTATTTGAGTTTGCAGTACAGAGCTCTATGTGGTCAGTTTATGGGTCGTCACAGCCACTGACAACAGCACCATTTTCTCTGCTCTTTATGTACTATATAGAAATACATGAGGGCAACTGAATTAGTTCATGGAAAATGACATTAGGAAATAAATTTATCTTGGTGCAGCAAATTGTGAAGCTCATGTCTAGTCACATACAATAGGCATTATTTTTCCCATTTTTTAAGAATTGAAATATGTCAGAAGTTCATAAACGTTGAAAGAACGTATAATGATGATTTTTATTTCCCACTTAGCCATTTTTAATGTGTTGATATCTGTATGTTCAGCTATGTTTTATTTGAAGTGATGATTCCCAATTGAAATTGGTTTTATAGGCAATGTCTAGGGAAATGTTAGATTGGTGCTACTCTGGGGCTGTTCCTGGCTTTTAATGGCTCATGGCGGAGATATTGCTGACCCAGTCCCAACATCAGTGCAGAATACCCATCCCCAACACTCAGTGGGACTGAAACTGAGAACTAAGGTGTGTGTACATCTGAACCAACCAAAAGAGAGCTGGATTCTTTTAAACAGCATTAACAAAGCCATGCTATTTAAATGTAAAAACTCAGAGTCTTCAGAGATGAAATATAAAAGAAAAAAGCAAAGAGAAAAGTGCTGAAAAATTATGCACAAGGGAAGAGAAGATTCCAAGATTCAAGGAAAAGGTGAACTGTGTTGACAAACCTAATGGAGTTGTTGGTCACATCTGGGTCCTTGGCAGAAATGATCTGTATGGTTGTCCCAATTGCCACATCCTCAGGCACCTCCACGAAATAAAAGCCAGGTTCAAACACGGGGGGCTCATCCACGTCCTCCACATTGATGTGCACCGTCGTTACGTCCTTAAAGGGGCCCAGGTACAGCAAATGCATCTGTAGGTGAGGATTGGCTCCCTCCACCTGTAAGGTGTATTTTTTCTTGCTTTCAAAACTCAGTGGCTGGAAAACAATGAAAAGTAAACTGATTAACCACTAACAAGCAAAACATATTCAGGTTTCAAAAGATGTTCAATTTTGATGGCTGATGGGTATACCTCAAAATTCATTAAAATGGTAAAAAAGAGATGAAAGGGGAACTTGGAGATTTTTCCCTTGCTCTGTAACTGGAGCCATCACCTTGCTAAGGAGAGTATGTATGATGCCAGACCTTCAGGTGTAGCCCCATGGCTTAATCTTGTCTACTTTCTTAATCATCAGGGTCTTTAGAGAAGACCCAAGGAGACCTTCTCTCTCAAGGGTGTCTGGGACTATTCCAGTTATAAAATGGAAGACTGTTTTCTGGAATGTTCATCTGCTCCAGGTAAACCTGGATGATTGGTACCTTTGGTGATGCTTGCTCATTTGTATAGATGCTGTGATGACAGAGAGGGCACATGAAAACCTTGACTAACAACTGGGGAGATAGGACAGGCTGGTGAAAAGAGGATCTTATTTCAGAATAATCAAGTGACCAAGCCTCATGTTTCCTGCTTTCTTTCTTTAAAAAAAAAAAATCCTTCTTGAGTCCAAAGGCAGTAGTGATTCTTTCCAAGAAGTCATTATACGTGTTCTTGAGGCAATATCTGATAATTTTTGTATATTTGGTTCATCCCAGATGATCTTTTTTTTTAAAAAAAATCCCTTTTCAAAACCCAATTTAGGAGCCAGCGCTATGACATAACAAGTAAAGCTGCCACCTGTAGCACTGGCATCCTCCATGGGTTCCAGTTCAAGTTCCCCAGTTAGGACCCAGCTCCATGCGGGTGTTTCTGGGAGAGCAGCAGAAGATGGCCTAGGCTTACACTCCTGAGGGAGACTGGGAGGAAACTCCTTGTTCCTGATTTCAGACCAGTCTCACTCTGGCTTTTGTGGCCATTTGGGAGTGAACCAATGGATGAAAGATCCTTTTCTCTGCCTCTCCCTTCCTCTCTCTGCCTTTCAAATAACTAAATATTTTTAAACAATCCTAATTCATTCGAAGAAACTGATACCCAGTAATCTTTGGAAACTGGGCTAATCTGATCCAGTCTTGTTGTATTAGAGGAGAACTATGAGCTCCTAGGTAGGAATTCTCCACCGAGGGTCTCCACCACAGGGTTCATTTGTCTAGTAAAATCAACTCATAAAATGCAATTCGTTTGGTTGCTTCTCTGTTTTGATCTGTGTTTTCATTTGAAATGTTCGTTTCAAGCTAAATACAGCGCTGCAGGGTTGAAAGTGAACTTAAATCCTGCTTGTGAAGAAGAAACCCATTTTTTTTAAAGCTGATAAAAACTTGTAAGTATCTTAAGTTGCAACTGTCTCAAAATATAAATAATTAAAACCATAGATAAATGGAAAATGAATCTGATAGAGTGATCGGAGTGAGCAGCAACAGTTACTAAAAAGTCAACACAGTGACAGCAAGATGTGTCTAAAACATTCATTTGAACTTTTTCCATAAAAGTTGCTTTTTGTCAGCTCACTTTGTGTTGGAAAGAGTCGTGTTCCTAGTTAAGCTTTGCTTCTGAGAAACAAACCCCAGTAGTCTATGATTTTCCATTTGTTATCTAACAGAATTGTCTTTTTGGTTGTATCATTCAGCGCCTGACTGTGGTAGCCCTGCTTTCTTAGATTGCTGGCCATTTCCCTCAGCCTGATGGCTTCCCTTATTGTGCGTCAAGAGGCCATGTTTACTCTCCTAGGGAAATTAAACATTAAGATTACAAGCTACTTGAAGATCTAGTTTTTACCAAATTAGTTATATGTACTCTCTAAATCTAGGAATTATTCTTTCCTGGTAAATTTATATCTACATTTAACTTAAATATGTATTATATTAAATTGACATTTAAAATTCTTTCCTTGTGTATGAACAGCCCAAAGTTGAAGCTCTTGGTGATGTTAAATTTAAGTTAGGCAAAATTTGTGTTCCCTTAATTTTTTTTTTTACATTGGTGTAAATTTTGTACCTGTAGAAACAGAGAAAAAGGGAGAGAGGTGAGGGAGATCTTCTATCTTGTGGTTCACTCCCCAGATGGCTGCAACAGTCAGGACTAAGTCAGGCGAAGCCAGGAGAAGGGCAGAGCTTCATACCATGTAGATGGGAGGAATTCAAGCATCTTCCACTGCTTTCCCAGGGGTGTTAGCATGGAGCTGGATAGGAAGTAGAGCAGCTGGGATATAAACTGGCACCCACATGCGGTGTGGCTGTTGCAGGCAGCAGCTTACCCCTCAATGCTACAACACCAGCCCCGTATTTGATTTCGTCAGGTGTTTGATTTTAGCCATCCTTGTATATATGCATGTGTGCATCATGGTGGTTTGGGTTTGCACTTCCCTTACACCTACTGCTGCATTTCTTTCTCTCTCTCTTTTTGAAGATTTCTGTATTTATTATCTATGAAAATACTTTATCGGATATATGATTTGCAAATATTTTCTCCCAATCTGTTGATTTTTGTCATTTCACTCTCTTAATAATGGCTTTTAAAAAGCAGAAACTCTTAGTTGCAATGAAATGTTATCACTTTTTCTTTTGTAAAATGGAATTCTGGTGGTTTGATTAAGAAATCTTTGCCTAATTAGAGTCACAAAGGTGTTTCCTGTTAGGGATGTTATAGTTTTAATTTTTTAGTGTTTCAGTGTATGATCTATTATGAATTTATTTTTGGAAGATGTAATGGAGGCTCATTTAAAATACTTCCATATCCAGCTGTTCTAGCACCATGTTTTGGAAAGGCCAGAGTGAGTTTTAATTATGGTTGAAAGTTTTTTTTTCAGTAAATTTCAGTAAACTTAGACATTTTAAAATTCTTTAAGGCTTTTGTGTCTCTCATTTCCACCTTTAGAATAGAAAGAAAGCACTGTACACATAAACAAATATTTAAATTTCCCACATTGGTTGGGCATATCCTTCTTAAATTGGTTTTAATTACCATTTTTTAAACAAAAATTGTTTATTTCAATATTCTTGGTGGTAAATCAAAGAATAACAAAGTTTGGCAAACCCAGGTTTTAAATCCATTAAATTTCCTGGGATTGTAGGATATAAAAATAAAAAGTCATTTGTATCCTCAAAAATTGAATCATGAAAGTTACGGCACAATTTAGTGATTCAGCTTTAAATATTAACTGAGAAGAATTATGTGTTACTTCCTATGTTCCCATGTTTCCATTATAGCTTTTCTTTATTTGCATTACGGATATTGTTATATTGGCCCACTCCCCCAGACTTAGGATCTTGAATTTAACTGAGTCCTATTTGTTGTTTCTCGATGCTGGCTTTTTTTTTTCCCTGTAGCCAGACTTGAAACCCCAAAGATAGTAACAATATATTAACTAGTGCAGAAAATTCACAGTGTGAGTAAATGTATTACTTACCTGGAAAATGCATATTTATGTTACCACATTTCCAGTAATTAATATGGACATTTTCCTATTTTGATATTTTGAGAAATAAAATTTCCAAATATCATCTTAAGATTGCTGTAAACTTACCAAGAGTTGATGTTCCTACCTGTGCAAGTCAGAGCTGATCAAAGCCATTCATGTTTTTATGTTCCTGTTGAGTTCTACATATTGTTGATACTATATGTGTTGAACTGTATGTCTTCAGGAAAGCTATAATTTGATTAATCATTGAAACAAAAGTGGTTGTGTAGGCAGAGTGGCATGGAAACAACAGTAGGGAGTAAATCTGGTATTAGTGAAGAAAATATCTCTAACTATGGCTATAACACTCTTTAAATAACTATAAGCCAAGAAATAAAACATTTCTATATTATTTGAATTAACAGAATCTTTAAAAAGTAGTACCTAAAATAATATTTATGATTTTTAAGTCTTAGATCTGGCGAAATGCAGGATGGACACTGAACAATTGCTTATTGTTTTCTGGAAGATGGAAAACATGGTGAAGACTAGAAAATTATGTGTCTACAGAATAAACACATTCTGAAAATTATATATTTTAAGTTACACTTCAAACGTTCAAGCAACTGAAAATCAATTGATTGATTACATAAAAGCTCAAAAGATACAAGATGTTGGTTAGTATTCAGTGTAGTTTTGTGAAGACCAAATTCTATCAATTGAGTTTAATTTTTCTTTTTTGAAAAAAAATGTGCTGTTTAGATAAATAATGGGTCTAAGGAAAATAAATCAAAAGCAGAACTTTTGTTTCAATTTTTATGACATTGTAAATGACAAAATAGAAAGGAGGAGTGTACACTAGACAGCTGAATGATATTCCAAAGGTGTAGATTCAGCAGTCAATAGTCTCTAAAGTATTTATGACATGTGACTTGTCCGCCACCTAACTTATTGACTACTTTCTTAATTCCATTTTCTGGCAGCCTGTAAGTTCAGAAAAGAAATCAAAGTGACCTTGACAAAATTGATATGTTTTGATTAGACATGGATGCTATTTTAGTGATGACAGTGAAAGACAGTGTAGTGCCTTCCCAGGTTTAATCTTCTTTCTAAGTGAGGGGACTGGAGAAAAGGCATTAAGAGGTTCCTCAAATAGTTACAGTTAATATATTGCTTTTAAATGAATGATTTTATTAAGCTCTAAAATGTACTGTGACAATTTGACATCATTAGTATTTTTCTTTAGAATTGTCATTGTTTTATGATACAAAAATTTAAATACTTAAAATCTCACAAACTTACTGATTATTTTTTTGAATAGGATTCTTGCATTAAAGAGATAATACTTAGATCATTGGGTGTTTATAGTTACCAAGTCATTGTTAACAATAATATCCATATTTATTTGTTGATTCAATGATTAATCTCATTGTTTTGTGCTGCTTTTAGATCTGTTCTTTTGTTGTATTTCATTGCACCTTAAATGGATCGAGAACAAACATGAACTCATCCTTTCTTCTAAAGTAGTAGTGATTCAGTTGTGTAAAATAGCGTAGAATATAGATATCATAAGCCCACATTCACTACGCCACATTGTAAGTTATGGGCATGTTGGCTTTTGTCAAGGTCATGAATTATCTTCTTGTTCCTCAAGCTGTGGTTGATTTTCAGTGTTATTGTCTGACCTTTGGCTGTGTTTGTCATAGATGATCTCTTTTCTCATGGGACTATCTCATCCCATGAGCTAGCACACACCCTTGATTTTCTTCCTGACTTCCTCTTCTGTCCTCAGTCTGCTTGCCCTTGCTCTGCTGACTTGTTCCTGTTGGGGTGTCTGAAGGCTCGTGGCATTGTCCCCTTTTTTGTCTACAGGCAGTCTCCTATGATTACATTTCACACATATGTAGAGATGCTTCAGTTCTTCCCTGCTTGGAGTAAAAGCTGGAGTCCTTATTATCTATCAGTCTGCAAGGTTTATATACTCTAGCCCCTTGTTTCTTCTCTGAACCATCTCCTTCCACGCGGCGTTATAAACCCTTTGCTGTTCTTCAAACCAATCACAGTGCCAGCTCAGGATGTTTGCATTGTCCTTTTGTCTGGAACATTTGCCTCAGTAGCTCCTTGTCAGTTTCCTTTTCTTCAAGGCTTCCATGTGTGCTTTTTGTCAACATTTAGCAGTACTTGCCAGCACTGCATGGCCAGTTTGCCTGACTCTGTGCTCCGATTCTGCTCTCCCAGTGTTTGCATCAGTGTAACTTTCCTATCAGGCCAGTCTTCCAATCATCTTTTAATATTACTAGTTTATGGACTTGCTGTTTTCATTTCTTCCTTCCCCTTATAGGATGTAAGCTCTATGATGGCAAATATTTTTAAATTTATTTGTTGTCTCCATTAAACTCCTTTAACAATACGTGGCAGAGAGTAGGCATTCAATAAATGTTGGTCAAATATGCAATTTAAGAGATCTTGGGTTTTTAAATTTACTCAAAAAACAAACTAAATTTGTGAGATTTGATTAATTCCATTTGTCAGATATATATTTACTTGTGTATTAAAAGTTTCCATTGTCTCTTGATTTTCCAGCTTTATAATAATATTCATATGTACCTTATGTCACAAAAAGAATTCACAGCTTACATTCAGAAAACTTGGCATTTTATGAAAAGTTCCAAGTGATAATCATCACTCAGTAACTGTGATAAAACTAGATTTGAATTAGTAGGTATGCATATTTAAGAAGCAATTAAGCATTCTTACATGTTCCTTATTGATTCACAAATAATGTTACGGTGTGTTCTATTGTAACTTATGGTACTCTATTAGTAGAAGTTTCTGCTGTTCAAGACTAGATGCTAAATTAGGTTAAAATCATCAAAGAACTTATCCACAGTTGGATTTTAAGTTAGCTGAGAAGGAAAAAATGTCATATTAATTCATCATATTTCTATCATGACCATTTGTGTAAAATGTTGGCATAGGCTGTGTTTTCCTGTAAGTATAGTAGGTGATTTTTAAAATAATAGGAAAGTGCTTTTAACATATTGTTTTCAAATCATATTTATTCATGCACACTAAAGGCATCATGAAAACAACTTGTAGAAAGGAGTTGGATTACCTTCTTGACGGTTATGATGCCTACTTGGAAATTGGGATCTGTGTTGATGTCAAAAACATCAGCACCATCGCCATCCAAGATAGTGTATTTCATCTCTGCGTTTATTCCTTCATCCAAGTCCTCGGCAAACAGTCTCCCCACAGTGGAGCTAACTGGAGCTGACTCCAACACACTCATCTGATAAAGTCCTGTGGAGAAAATCAAGAACATGCATCCTTGGTCATCTGTCACTGTAAAGCATGCTATTCTTATATCAGATCAACCATGCTGTGTCAAGCATCTTCTTTGTTCAAAAAATTAGAACTTTAGTTTTGCATTTGAAAATTTAATTCCAGAGGGTCTGAACAAACGGTAACTTAGGTGGTCAGGTGCTGTGTGTGCCAGAAGGAAGAGTCAGAATAGTTTGATCACAGTGCTATGAGTAGAAAGGCTGAAAGCAAAATCTTACCCCAGTGAATCTTCCTTCAGGGTAGTAGGACGTACCTCACTCTTTTTTTTTTTCTTAAATTTTTTTTTTTTAAATTTTACTTGAAAGACAGAGATGGGATGAGAAAGGGAGAGAGAAAGAAAGCAAGAGAACACACTTTGATTTGCTGGCTCATTCATAAGCAACTGTTCTAGCCTAGGCTGGATCAAGATTAAGCCAGGAGCCCAAATTAATTTCAGGCCTCCCATATGTGTGGCAGGGACCCAACTACTCTGACTGGTTGGATCTGCAAGTGGGGTACCCATGGGCCTGGGGCATCAAATGTACTAACATCTTTCCCCAAATGTGAATGTCTTCTGAGATGGAAAAAATGTTGTGGTCACAAAGCCCTGATTGATTCCTTTTACATTTCAGATGCCCACTTTTGCTTCATTTGTCAGACCAGTGTACTGAGAACCCATCTTTATGGGTTCCAGCCCTCCCAGAGAAAACGGCACCCAGCAATCCAGAGGAGGAAAAGTGACAGGCACAAGTGCCACCAGGCCCTTGTGTTTTCCATCAGTAGGTCCTTGCACCTGGGATCGCTTACTGGCTGTCTGTCCGTGGACAGACATTTGTGCTTCATTCTCTTGTTCCCTAATCGATTATACAGAAAATTTCTCATGTCTGTAGAAAACTCAGAGTTACTAATTTTCTCCTTTTTGACTTGAAATACTGAATTCATGTTTAAATTCATTTTTCATCTCCACAGAGATAAAAAATCTTCTCTAGGACTAAACTTTTTGGTGTTCTCTATTTTGTCAGCTACAATGCAACTGCATACATAAACAAAAGCTACCCAATTACATTTTCAGTATGCAAGAGCTGCTTTTTACTTTATTTTTAAAAAAGATTTATTTATCTTTATTGAAAGGTGGATATACAGAGAGGAGGAGAGACAGAGAGGAAGATCTTCCGTGTGATGATTCACTCCCCAAGTGACCACAACGGCTGGAGCCGAGCCAATCTGAAGCCAGGAGCCAGGAGCTCTTCTGGGTCTCCCATGTGGGTGCAGGGTCCCAAGGCTCTAGACCATCCTCAACTACCTTCCCAGGCCACAAGCAGGGAGCTGGATGGGAAGCAGCACCACCGGGATTAGAACCGGCATCCATATGGCATCCCAGGCGTGCAAGACGATCCTAACCACTATGCTATTGCGCTGGGCCTGCTTTTTATTTTATGATGCACTCTTAAGCTACAACAAAGCTGGGGTGTGAGGGCTTGATCTTCACAAAGACTTGGGAAGGCTAATGGTACGAGGAGAGGAAATGTTCACTGTTCATTACAAATGTGAAATCTCTGCTGTCTACTAACAGTGGCACTCCCTTGGATTTCTGGTCTCTTGGCACTGCCAAAGTTGTTGATTACACACATTGTTGCTGCAAACAGGCATCTGCCTACACTGTTCTGCACACCAGGAAAGCTGGGTTATGTGCTGTCAACATAAGTGTGTGTACTAGTATGATGTACTGTGCGCTAAAGAAATAGCTTGAGATCTTGATATCCTGTTATAGTTAATTCATTTAAAGGTGACTGAGCATGTTCAGTGTAAAACAGGCACATACTTTGTCAACATCCCATGACTATGGTAATATTTGTGGGGAAAAAAAAAGAAGCAAAGTGGAATTTTTGCAATGAGGAGTCACTGAATTAGGGACTTTGCAATGTTAGTTTCCTGTATGGGTACCAGTTGGTGTCCTGGTTGCTCTGTTTCTGATTTGATTTTCTGCTAATGGCCTGGGAAAAGCAGCAGAAGATGCTCCAAAAACTTGTGCCTCTGTGTGTACGTATGAGACCTGACAGAAGTTCCTGGCCCCTGGCTGTGGCCTGGGCCATCCTAACTGTTGTGGCAATTTGCTAAGTGAACCAGCAGAACTGTGCAATTCAGACCTGGCTCACTGCCTCACAGGCTCTGAGCCCCTTCCTCCTTAATTCCCTCTCGCTCTCCTTTCCTCCTTCATTTGCTCCCTCTACCCTTCCCTCCATCTTTGTCCTGTTCTCTTTCTCCATCTCACTTTCTTTCTATAATTCTGATCTTCAAATAAATAAGTCTTTAAAACAGAATAAGGAAGACGATTTCATTCAAAATATGATTATGGAAAGTGAGATTAGCTAAAATTTATGGGGAAATATTTAATGATGAAATCATCCAAATTATAAAAAAGTCTAAAACTAATGACTTAGAGGAAGTTGAGATAATGTGGGAGAATGCTTAAAGACCAAAGATTTCAGTTATTTTACATTTCTCATTTTTACTCCCATAAATCATAATCATATGTTTGCTCTATTGTAGAGTCTCCATTATCAGTGTATATTGAAGAAGTTACACCTCAAAATACATGCTGTAGAGTGATGAGAAGACATTGATTTCAAAAGCAGGTGAGTTTCAAATTTACAAAAAGACAAATAGTTGAAGGATTTAAAAGAATATGTACTCTACAGGGTGGGCAGTGTGAGCCATTTTCCAAACAATAGAGATGGAAGCCCTGGGGTTGGCAAAGAAACAAAAATCAATCTATGTAGCATTTCAAAAACTAGCATGATGTGCTGCTGTCCTGTACTGTGGGGCCAACATGCTGCGTCACCTACTTACTTGTACTGTTGGTGAAATACTTAACTAGAATTCTGCCTGTTTCTTTCACAAATGCTCACAGGCAACTTGTGCATACCAGTTGCATGCAAATGTTTGAGTTAAAAAAATATTTACAAAGATAAAATGGAATGTTCACATGACTGATTCAAATTGTAGCACTTCAGCTGATAGCCCGACATGACTCTGTCTGGTTTTAATTTATTTATTTTAAAGCCATTTTCTTGGTCAAATCTTCCACCTGGAATTATGTCTGCTGTTCTCTCTTGTCTAGCTACTCGCTCAGGCATCTTCTTTTCAAACGAATGTCTCCATCTCCGGGCTCTGTTGCTCAGCCATGGCTCTATGTTTCTGTCTCCCTTTAGGATATTCAGCCTGATGTTCCGCTGTCACTTTATATTCTAGCCTGAATTTGTCTCCTTTCTTCCCTGCCACAAGTTTCATTATGCATCCTCTGTTTTCATCAGCAGTACAATCCTTCTCTGTCATCCAGGCTTAAAACATTGTCATCCTGGACTCCTCCCTCTGCTTTGGCTCCCTTAGCCAAGAAATCAGGAGGCAGAAATTTGTGTTTTTTTAAATTTGTGTCTCTCCACCCTCCTGCCATTTCGTTCAGTTCTTATGATTTGAAATACAAGTCACACTAAAAGATTTCTAACACAGCCCCTGCCTCTATTTCCCGCCTCTGTCAGCCCATCCTGTATAACCATCCAATTAGCCCTTCTTTATATTTCTCTCACTGGAAAACTTTTCTATAGCTTATATTGGAAACACAACACATTTTAAGATTGGTCTTCTGAACATAAAGTGGTATTGGTAGTTCTATTACACACACACACACAAGCTCCAGGAGGGCATTATTTGTTTTGTACATTGCTGTGTGTCCTGTACCTAGAATGATGTATGGAACATGTATTTCTTTTAAATGAGCGAATGACTGCCCAGCTCTGCAGTGTCTTTTACCTTCTGTCTATATAAGTCTTTTATATTCTTTAACACCCTGTTGAAGTCCCATTCTACCATAAAGGCTTCATTCATCTTAGTTTATTGCAAAGGCATCCTTTTGTGCTGTCCACAGGGCACATCCACCAAGTGCTGCCTGTTGGTTCACTTTTGCTGGGTAAAGAATGTGCACTACCCAAGAGGACCTTAGGCTTCACAGAGGCATGGGCCGGGTTCAAAGCGTCTTGTATCCTTCATATTTTACTGTAACAGAGCAGGTGTGAAGTGACTAGCTAATACTGTCCATTTGTCAGTTGGACAGTTGTTCACCTGCAGCTTTGACTTGGCTTCAGCCAATGTTGTCTTTTCCAGGGCAAAAATTGGTTCTTGGTGTGTGTGTGTGTGTGTGTGTGTGTGTGTGTGTGTGTGTGTGTGCACATGTGTGCATTGAGAAAAAAATCTCAGCTATTGCGATCATTTGTGGCCTATGGAAATTGAACCCTACTCAAGAAATTCTTCATGGTATCCAATTTTGTGCAGGATAGGTGGGTGAGGGGAAAAAACAAGGAAGCAAGTTTGAGAAACTGACATAATGTTTGCTATGGGAAAGCAGAAACCAGAAGGAAAATGCTTATGTGAGAATTACATGATGAATACAGGAAAGGAGTCCCTGAATGATTGAATTTAAAAAGCAAACTCGGATTGAACTTTGTTCTGCACTCCACAACAGGTTCATCTTTGTGGCCTGGTGATGAACCTGAGGTCGAGGCTTCCATTGCGTGGATACTCACTCTGAGGAAAGTGGGGCGGGTTGTCGTTGACATCCGAGAGGGTGATGTTGACGGTTGTGGTCCCAGCTAATCCCCCAAGCTGCCCTCCCATGTCCTTGGCTTGAATAATCACCTCGTAGTATTCTTTGGCTTCTCTGTCCATGTTCAGGAGGGCTGTCCTAATTACACCTGCAGGATAGAAACGACTTTGTGTTTAGAAACAAAACCACAAGTCTGGTTTTGATAAGATTGACTTCCAGGTTTCTCTTTTGTGTACTCTTAGTGCCCAGGGGTGAGACGCAAGTCATTTTTGTTTATTTAAGCTTGAAGGAAAAATGCCCTGACACATATGACAGATACTATTCCAGCAGTCAGAGCTCAGTGGGCCGATTGCCGCCAACAGCATTGAGAAAGAGAACGGAAGGTGGCAGCAGTGTTGTTGTACAGGCTCGAGGAGTTGGGGGGTCTAGGGATTTCAGACTGACTGCTCCAGTCGCCCAGGAAAACAAAGCCTCTTATATCTGTGAACCTGTGATTTTTTATGGTTTGTCCCCTGGGGTCCCTGTGTGTAGATAAGGCCCTCTTGTTCTGTGTTCTTCTGCCTCCCCCTTCCTGAAAGTGGGTTGGAATTCTGATCTGATCTCTGTTTTGTTAGCCATTCATTTTGTTTTGTTATTTTCTGCTTACTTCTGTGCTTCTCGGCATCCCGACAGCGAGCATGTGAAAGACGCTCTGTGATCTGTTCATTTTTACTCTGCATAAGTGGTGAATTTCCCAAGACAGTAAATAACAGTGAGAACATGTGGTTTCACTTAAGAAGAGGGGTCTAAACCAGAGCCCATTGATTGAAACGTGTTGTTTTGGTCCTGCCAAGAGTGTACAGTGATGTTTTATCTCCCTTTTAATCCTTCAACTTAGGAGGCCTGACACCTATATACTTCAGGCAAAGATGAAAGGCTTATTTGCTGCAGGTTTATAACGTGATCCATGGCTATCTAGACCTGCTGCCTGAAAAGAGAAGAGGTTGGGAAGCAACCAGTCCCCACTTTGCTCTTAGTATACATATATGTATATGTGTGTATGTGTGTGTAGCATTGGAGTAATAACATTGCAAAGTGAAGTGTGCAGCATTTTTTCCCCTTAATGCCCCAAGGGTATAGTAATAACTATCTTTTCCTGTGTCTTTGACCTTAGCGCTCTAGATTGCCC